TTTCAAATATACATTCAAAGAAAGGAAGAATTGAGTGTATTATTATAAGAATGAATCTGTTAAGAAGATATTCAAAAACTTATTAAAAAACATAGATTTCAAGCTTCTTGAACCATACAAGCCTGAAGTAAAAAAAAAAGCAATGCATCTAACTAATGTCCATTTCAAGAAATGCTTGTACACACAATTGAAGAACGCTTCAATTTCAAATACCTAGTTGGAGAAGAACCATAACGGTGAGATTATTATTATCCTTAAAGAATAATTGAAGAAACCAAAGCAAAGATATATTAGTATTGACTTTGGTGAAGACATGAACCCCCAATATCCCTATGTGGAAGAGGAAGTTTGAAATGACATTATTGAAGACCCCCCCAAGAGATTCTAAACTAACTCTAGAACCTCTATACATGGGCTCCTAAAAGAACTCAAGCACAAGTTGACTCCTACGCTATTATAGTTGATACGATATAAATTTGCATGATTTTTATACTTTAAATATGATATTTTCTTCCTTATTTATTATGATTTTATGCTTGTGAAAGATTTCATGGTGTTTTTGTGTAGATTATAAGGGTTGAATATGCATTGCAAGGAAAAATTTACTAAACATGAAAAATGTTGGAGTGGCACTTTATAGTGTAATTATGTTGAGGTCTTTATGTGGCTAGTGTAATTACACTAGGTTCTAGCGAAGCAACACAAACTTGCAGTGTAATTACGCCTGTCGCAAGTGTAGCTACATTGATGCCAACTAATGTCCTATTTTTGTATTTTTTGTTGCATGACAAATTTGACAAGAGTTATATAAGGAGATAATTTGGGGTTCCTAAGAGGAGGGGTGAAGAATTAGAGAGGCTTATTTCACTATAATCTAGGGTTCTAATTCAATCCCTAGGGTTCTCTTCCTTCTTCCTTTGAGAAGGGATCTGCGTGTTTTTGTGTGTAGGATTGATTGAATGTTGTTGTGAGAGGGCGATTGTTGAGAGCTTCTCATTATATAGTGAAGACATGATTTATTACAGAGAGAAATTGGCTTCATTGTAAGTTTGTACTTCACTGCACTTATTTCTTCTATATTTTAATGAAATCTTCTCTTTATTTTTATCTTATGTCTCATAGCTAATCTGGTTTCATGCTCTTGTGTTGTAAGAATATGAATTTGTTCACTTTTTTTACAATAATTTTTCTCCCATATAAGTTTATGTGCCATTCATTTTCATATGTTGATAGGTTAACCTTGTGATCATCACTTCTAATTTAATCAATTAGGTTATTAAAATTTCTTGTGACCTAGGACTTATAACTGTTCTCTAGTGTAATGAGTGGGTTAACACACATGATAGCATAGTGATATAGAAATATTACAATTAGAAAATTTCAGCCGAAATATGGGATTTGAGAAATCCTAGGAAACACTGCATGATCAAGTCCCTCTTAACTGTAATTTGGTTTCTGACACCTCTTATGATCTAAACATAGGCTAAAGAGGATTATGTTCTTAGTTTTCAATTATCATGCGGAAGAGCTCATAGAAAAAATATTGAGAGAACACTTTATCGGTGTCACTGGAGAATGCATCTCATCTACTCTAAAAGGCTCAAAGTTACTCCCTGCCTTTTTTTATGCTTCTTTTCATGTTTATTGCTATGATTACTCCTCCTTTTAGGACTCTTAAGATTTTCATTATTGTACATTGATCACTTCAAAATAGATTTAGCTATGTAGTAGATTAGAACCTTCCATATTCAAAATATTTTGACGTTGTCCTTGTGAGAACAATACTCAAAGTTGTTATTCATATATTTCCTGATCGGCATGAATACTGGCATAGTTGATTGATCTATCTTAAACTAGATTTTGAGCATCAAGTTTTTGGCACTGTTGTCTAAGTTACAAGTAAAAATTTTATAACCATAGGAGAACTTTAGTTGAAACACTTAGATATTATATTTGAATGTTTCTTATTTTCTTATTGATTGATAATTTGTTATGTTCTTTTTTTAATGAAAAATAAAAAAAATTAATTGTATCATTATTTTTGTTCCCGTAGATTCATATTTCTTATTTGGCTATTATGTTTTTTCTATGTTCTTTCTATGTTCTTCCTTCGTCATACATTTATTTTTGCAATTCCTTCTTAGAACATGGCCACCTTTCACACACTTGTTATCTCAAGCATAGTAGTAGTTTAGGTGAAATGTTGTCATTTGAACCTGACATAGAAAAACTTCAAAATAAATTCAAAAAATTCAAAAACTTAAAATGAAATACTTAGAGATGGTGAGCCTTCAAGAAGATGACATGAAATCTATTAAGGATTTTGCCAACCCATCAGTAGAAAGCATTCACATGAGTATCCAGTACCTTACTGTAGAAGCTAACATATTTGAGTTGAGATTTTTCATTATCCAATTTGTCCAAAACAACAAGTTTAAGGGAGCACCCACAGAAGATTCAGAATTGCATTTAGTCAATTTTTCAAAATTGTGTGCTACTTTCAAGTATAACAGTATCTCTAGTGATGCCATTAGACTAAGTATTTTCACTTTTGCACTAAGGGATAAAGCCAAGTTATGTTGCACTACCTTAGCATTAGGATCCAACATTACATGAACTGACTTAGGCCAAATATTTCTAACGGTACTTCTCTCCATCTAAGACTGATAAACAAAAGAATGTCATCACTTTCTTCACCCAATTAGAGGGAGAGTTGATCTATGAAACTTGAGAGAAGTTCAAGAAGTTTCTTAAGAAATACCTCCACCACGCTCTGCCTGATTGGCTGATTATATATACTTTTACAAATGGCTAGCAAGATTCTTAAGGACTAAATTAGATGCTACAGTTAGAGGTCCTTTTGTCTATACCATTTGATGAGGCCTATAAAGTGATTGAGAAAATTGCCATGAGCAAATTCCAATGTTCATCTAAGATAATCACCCCAAAGAAGGTGACTAGTGTGCATGAGACTAATGTTTAACTATCATATCAGCATAAGTGGCTGACATTCTAGGAAAATAGACAAATTCATGTTAAGTTTGGTGTAAGTATCCCTAAAAGTGATGGGATTATTTATGGACCAGTAGAATACTCGAGCATTGATGTTTTATAGACTATGAATGCCTTAGAAAACCACTTCACAATCCATATTCTAATACTTACAATCCATCTTGAAAAAAACAACCCAAATTTCAATCGAACCAATGATAATCCAAAAGAAAGAAACCACCAGTTGGGGAACACCAAAGCAAGCCTTTTTGGAAATTAGAACAATCAAGGCATTAGTAACGAGAGACTAAGCTACCCACCTAAATTTAACTCCAATACCCAATATAAGGATACAAAGTCATCAATGGAAGAATTAGTGTTACATATGAGGAATGAGTTAACGAACCAAGATGTCACCATAATGAACATTGAATATCAACTTAGACATTTGGCAAACTCATAGAGTGATAGACCTCAAGGGATGTTGCCTAGTAACATTGAGGTGAATCTATAAGATAAGATGGTAGAGCAATGTAAAGCTATCTGAATGAGGATTGAGACTGAGGGAAACGATAAACCTAACTTAGCAAGCAAACCAATAGAGGTAGATCATGACCCTACAAGCCTTCTTGAAAAATTGACCCCACACTTTGGAAAACCCACCTCACCTTCTTAGATAGGACAATAAAGGCTACTACTATAATTTTCCTATAGACTGCGAAAGCTTAAGAGGGACCAAAAGCCATCTAAAGTTGTAAAGGTTGTCAATTAACACAATATTAATATTTCTCATGCTAATACCCTAGAATGGATACTGAGTTATGTGGCATTCGTTAAGGTTGTCTTGAACAAAAATAGAAAATTAGGAGCTCGTGAGATGGTTGACTAGGCTGAGGAGTTTAGTGCAATCTTGTAAAAATAAATCATATTCTTATACCTGTCATGATATCTGGCATTTATCATGACTAGAGATAGAATACTTTTCAAAAATCTCCTGAAAACAAATAATTACCCAACATATTTTTCACTACTAGCTCAATCTAAGACAACATCTTTTGAAACAAGCAAATCCTTTAAATTTTGTAAGTTAATTGTTTCTCCTCTATACAATATATTTTAAGTGAAATGTTTATAAGAAATGTGATAAACTAATATACATATTAATAAATCTTGATCCTTATAACCAACAAGCATATCAATATTCCTAAAAAAATGAATAGTAAATTTAAATTAATTCAAATATACATGATTTAAATAAACCATTCGACACATTAATAAATTTTGATCCTTATTACCTGCACCTACCTTTTCTAAAGTTCAAGTACTATCACTCTTCACGAAGAATATTAATGAAAGTCTTATTTTTCTCACCAAAATCTTATTTTCATGTTTGTATAAACACTAAGAAATCATATCTAGAAGGGTATATTGTCATCAATCAACCCAAAAAGCTTGGAAGACGAACAAAGGATGCCCTGAGGCATAGAATTTGATATTTCACTTGTATATTAAATCATGATGATCAAACACCCAATAACACATAGTATTGCCAAATTCATAAACCAGCTTCCTCACCCTTAAGCAAATCTCAAGGAAATATCATACAATTAAGTTAGCTCCTATATCCATGAATAAAATATGTAGCTAACGACGGTTTAATCGACACAAATATACATAGCAAGAATCAATCCTTCTTATGCATTCATATATGATTCACTTCAAATAAAGAAGCTCAATGTTATTTGAGCTCCCGTGCAACACAAAATTCTCATGCAACACAAATTCTCCAAACAATAAATTATATATTGAATCAAATTTACACAATGAATGTGCATTAATTAAGATATTTACACAATAATAGTTTGAGACACTTCAGCACAACTCCCTTATTTAAGTGACACTCTATAACAAGTTAAAATTCTTTTTTGATTACCTCAACAAGTTACAAAAATAAAGGTAAAATTGAAAAGAATAAAACAAAAATAAAAATAAAAAAAATGGAGTGGAAAAATTACAATTTGGTATTCTTAAACCCAAGATTCTAAACTGCAATGGGCTTTAGGCTCACCTTGCACAATGCATTAAGATAAATATGTGGTCATTTTTGCTATTTTGTCCAATGTTTTATTTTCGTTTCAGTTTCTCAAAATCATATCCATCAGCAAAAAGTTCCAAGAATCTATGGGCCCTGGCAAGCACCAATGAAGGCAATCATTCTGCACCATAGTCCCAAAAGAGTGAAATTTTCTGTAAGGTCCAGGATGCCCATCAGGCCGTCGTGCTGAGAGATTATAAGTATCCAATAGCTTTAAATTATTAGTATTTTTCATCATAGCTCTTAAAAATTCTTCTATCTCAATACTTCTCATCAGTAGATCCACATCTTCTTCATGGATCAACCCACCATTAAATGGCTCTGTTCTATTACAAATTCCACCATTAGACCATTCCCTGTACTCAAAATGGCTTGGTGCCCATGTCCTATATATGACAATGGGCTTATGGTTTGAAGATAAGACGAAGTTAAAGATCAAGCTGAGAACTTTTTGGTAAGAATAGTTTAAAGGAAGCTCTGTTAAGTTCTTTTCTGGGCAGTAATGGCAGCCTATGATGTTATTTTTCTCCCAGTAGATTGCAGTTTTGAGGAACCACTGACCTCCTGAAATTAGAATATAATCAAAGTTATTGTATTTGTTAGACCACTGGGTATCAATGGTGTCAAGATGAAGCTGCATGTCTGATTTTGACACTCCATCATCATCCTCGAAGATCTCAGCTTTCATGAGTAGAGGAGACCATATGAGTGAAAGGGTGAAGTTGTAGTTGGCGAACAACCATTTCATGGACTTGTATTGTTCATCATGGTAGACTTCAATAGGTTCATCTTCCTGTGCAAAAGGTGAGTGCTTTTTAGCTTCGATACATTTCATCTAAACAACATTTTATTATTATTCAAATAAAATTGAATAAAAAACTCTAACTTCAATCCATGGAGACGGCTTACCTTATGAAGAAGACAGATCAAAGAACGAACTTGATTGCGGAGTATAGAATCACCAATAAACGCCCATGATTTATTTCGCATGGCTTTCAGAAACCTCAACGGATCTAAGGAAGAAATATGGCAACCATCTGGCTTCCACCTCCAGTAAAGAAAAGCAGTATCAGGCCTTCCATTTTTGATGCAGTTCTGAGGCGGCTCAATGAAAGGGCAGCTCACGTGGCTGTAAGCTGGTCCTGATGGGTCCGCTATCCATTTCCCAGTAAAAATGTCGCATTTCTCTGCACTAACAGATGTTTAAAAGCAAAGAGAAGCAACATTGGTATGAAAAGTGGGAAATTGTTATATTGGAATATTGGTTTGTTTCGAATCGCTTACCATCGCCTGATGAAGAATGATGAGGTTTGTGTAAGTTGGAAGAGGGTTCAGAGAAAGGGAAGAAAATGGAGGATTTGGTGAAGAAGAAGAGGTAGAAGAAGATGAAAAGAAGAAGAGAGATCGAGAGTTTCAGCAAAATTATGCTGTATTTCTGGTTGAAAAGCAGCCCTGATTTCATATTTGCGACAGAAATCAGATTCAGAGCTTTGAGAGTTTGTGGGAAGGAGTAGAAGACAGATCGGTCAATGAAGACAGACTGTTGCTTGCTTAAGCTTTTGGCTTCTCCCGAATCAACATTTATTAAAAGAAAGTTAGAAGATAATGTTTTTATTTGCTTCTCATTAAGCAAGGAGGTGCGGGCAAGCTTATCATGATTCATAGTGTTGCTGGTTATTATTTTTTTCAGAATATTTGGTAGCATTTTTATATTGGATTTTAACTTAAATTTAGCTAAAAGAGAACATAAAAATTAAATTCAATGCTTCGTTGAATTTAATTCTCTCATGTTCTATATTTTTCTATAGGCATTCCATCATTTATAAGGTGTAAATTCGAATTAAATAAATCCAACTGTATGATGAATCAATTCATCATGATTCACGGGCAAAGTCGTAAGTTAAATTCGAATCTATGAGATTTGATAAATCCTGTTTAGTTTAAATCAAAGATGCTGTTAAATACCGCCTTAATGTGCGGAGCACTGTTGTCTTGGCTTCTCTAGAATCAAGATAAATGGATATGATTTTCTTTTTTTATTCATTGATCCACTCGGAAAGACTAACTGCTCCAAACGGGTTGATGAAGATGATTCGTCTTCCACGTTGGACATGTGGGAAAGTCTGGTTCTGTCTGCAGAGAGAATCTTATTTTCCTTTCCTAAAAATATCATTTTGCTACTGTTAGATTTTAGTGATGTAATTCACAGCTGAACAAATACCTTGGCCTTCTCAAGTTTGGTAGAAGAAATAGTTCTTTGACCGACTGAAAAACTTGGTGATAGAATGCTGTTACGTTGAATTGATAAACAAAGTTCAAATTACATTATAAATTAAATTATTTGAATCTTAGTGATAGAATGCTGTTACGTTGCAATTTTGATGGACAAATCCGATTTTAAACAAAAAAATTGCTAAGAAAATACAAGCGAAATATTAAAATTTATTTAAACTTGGACCAAAACACAGTAATTTCCAACCAAACAACTAAAATAACCAGACATGTTTCTGATTAAAGTTTAAAATAATATACAGAAAGATATGGTATTCCTCTTTGACCGATTGAAAAAAAATGTCAGATTTGCAAATAAAAAAATCTTGTCTATGTTCCTGAAAAGTCATTGATAAGAATAATGCTATTTTTATATGGTAAGGAGGCAATTTTTCATTATTTATTTCTCAAGGCAACTTTGCCATTTCCTTGTAAAAAAACACATCACCATAATAAGTTTTCAATTAGGATGGATTGTGGCATATGCTTTGAGGTTCAACATTTTTTTAAACGGCTATTCAAGATACCGTCAGACTCCTATAGCTCCTGAGGATTGGGATAAGATCACATTCCTGAGCTCTTATTGAACTTTTGCCTTTGGGAGAATGCTTTTAGACTACAATGTGTCAGCCGCCTTTCAATATTTCATGATTTCTATGTTTTATGACTTCACTGAAAAAGGGATTGAGATTATTATGGATGATTTTTTTGTATTTGGTCTCACCTTTGACTCATGCTTAGATGTGAAGAGACCCTTGTTTTTAGACTATGAATAATGCCAATTTCTAGAGATAGAGGGAATTTTTTTGTACATAAAATTTTTGGGAGGTGGATGGAGATAGAGTCGATGAAGATTCAAGTGATAGAAACACTTCCACCTCCCACTTCCGTAAGAGGAATTATAAGTTTTATAGGACACACGAGATTCTATTAATATTATATTATGGAAATTTTTAAAATCACCACATCTCTATATCACTTATTAAAAAAAAGTTGTCCTATTTCACTTTGATGAACATTGCCTCGATATCTTTGAAACTCTAAGCCAAATTAGTCACATCACTTGCTATTATTACACCTGATTTGGAGTGTCAATTTGAGTTGATGTGTGATGTTATTAATTATGCTATAAGGGCAGTGTTAGGGTAGAGGGAGGATAGATAATAATTTTTGAGTCATATATTATGCAAGTAGGACCTCAATAAAGCTCAAGTGAACTACTCCACCATTGAAAATCAGTTATTCGCTATAGTATATGTCTTTGATAAATTTAGGTTCTATCTTATTGGTACCAAATTCATTGTTTTTGCTAACCACACTGTTATCAGATATCTTGTAACTAAAATGGATGTCAACCCCAATTGATCTTATGAGTCATTCTATTAAGGGAATTTGATATTCAGATTGTAAATAGGAAATGTACTGAAAATAAGATAGCTGACCACTTATCTAGGCTAGAGTAGGAAAGTTCTGTTGAATTTCTCACTTAAATAAATGAGAATTTTTCTGAAGAGAAAATCCTTGATGTTTCTAAGGAAAAAATTTTGTGGTATGTCAACATAGTGAAATTTTATTGTTAGTAACTTCAAACCATATGATCTAACATGCCACTAGAAAATGAAATTCATGTATGATGTCATATTTTATTATTGGGATGAATCATATTTGTATAGGAAGTAAAAATAAAGTAGAGTTCAATTTCACCCTAAGGGGCTTGTTATAACACATGTATCAAGAAAAAAAAGCCAATCGAATTATAAGAGCCCAAGTAAGAGCATATATAAGTGTCGAAGCAAGGCCCATCATAAGATTTTCAAAAAAAAAATTATTGAATTTATATTTATTATTTAAAATTTCAATTTTAATTTCTAGAAGGCTTTAATTTTGTGATTTGGATGTTTATATGTGATGGTGATGAAAAAAATAATTTTGGAATATGGTTGACACCTTATTCCATTAATGGCCTCCTACCTTTCCCATCAAAATTTTCTTATTATTTTGTTGATATTTTTAATTTTATAATCCTTATAAATATGTCTAACATGTAAAGATTTTTATCATTTATTTAATAAATATTTGGGTGAAACATTCGCTTTTTTTGTTTGGAGCCTGATGGCTTTATGTGTGTGCCTTTTTTTAAATGATATTTGATAGTTGTCCTTGATATATTTTAATATACTATTATCTTAATTCTTAATAACCACCTTGTTGGAATCTCAAAAAATACCATCCCGTACTCAACATAACCTTCAAAACTACTCTAAAGATCCACTAAGAAGCCCTAGGCTAAGCTAGGTAAGACTAAAACCTAATATTGATATCTTCCCATTAATGCCTACATAAATTCCTTCAAATCATGTAATCTAGATTATAACTTTACAACCTAAGGCAACTATAAATAATCATCCCCATGCATTTACCCAAGTTTAAACTGCTTCCATATAGAGATCTTTAAAATCATCACAAGTTAGCTTAATTTAGACCTGTCTAAACATTCCAATAACAATACCATACTAGATTCTTTAGATTCCATAAAAATGTAATCTCCTATTTAGATGTTAAAATAAAGATTTATGGGCTTTGATATCAATTAATTTCACCAAAAGGCCACCTACATTAATCATAAGATATTATGTTAGTTGCCAACTTAACTATTATTCTCTAATTTGGATTATTATTCTAAGTACAATTCAAGTAACATTTTTAAATCAAGGCTGTAAGGATTTTAATAAGGATTATTTGATCTATTATTTATTAAATTTAATAACTGCATAGTTAAAACAGACGGGTTATCTACTTGTCCATAAATATTTTTTTCCACTTATAGATGCTCCTTTCGTTAAATTAAAATTTGAGTCATCTATCTTTTTCAAAAAAGTAGCACTATGAAGCCAAAGTGGTTAACATGTCTATGTCATGCAAACTAGCTAGCAACCATTCTAAGATGAACTCTCTCTGAAGGGCATTGAAATTGTTAGTCGGTAATTTTTCAATTAATGTGTAGGCCTCACCAAAAAATTTAGACAATAAAAACCACCCAACTGAAACATCAAGAATTGATATCAAAGATCACACCAACCTACTATAAAATATTTGTGTAATAAACCAATTCACTAGAGCATAGTGTGATCATTTTATATCTAGACCGTTGAACATCTCCTAAGACTCATAAATAGATTCATTTTCTAACTGAGTGAAAGAAGTGATATCGTTCATTTGTTTGGTGGTCTTGGATGATCGGATGTACTTTGCTAAAAAAATTTGAACAAAGTTAGTCCAAGTGATTATGCATCTTAGAGACAATGAGTTCAACCATATTTTTGTTTTATCTCATAATAAAAATTGAAATAATTTAAGCCTATCAACTATATTAGAGAAACCATTATACTATAAAGTTACACATGATTAAATAAAAATGAAAATCTTTAAGTTTAGGTTTCTTACAAGAGAACATCCAAATTGACTATTTTGAATCATATCAATGATTACAAATATGAGTTCAAAGTTATGCTTGAATGACCGTTCTACTTATACTTTCATGTACCATTAAAGAGCTAATAAAATCTCTCAGTGGTCTAGAGCGAACATTCATTACTGATGAATTTATCATGAATCCTCGGTTTTTTTTTGTCTTTTAAATTTTATTAAGATTTTTAATAATGTTTTTTTCTAGCTCAGGGACAAGTCGTACTAAATCTCTAAGTTTAACCCTATGCATGCAACAATACACTATCAAGTTTGACATGCAATAGTTAACAGTAACAATAGAAACATATAATTAAAAGAAAATAAATAATTAAAGTTTATTAACTAAAGAACTAATAAGCAATATCATATAAAAATTGAAAAAAATCAATGGCATTATGGCGTTGATGGTAGCAGTATAATGCTAGTATAAAAATCAATGTAATACTTTTTCTAAATAAAATAAACTCCACAAATACGATTCAAAAATAGTATATAAAAATCATGCATACAAAACATGAGGATTGCATTGGAAAGGGGCCTATTCCATTAATATTAGCTTTTCAATTTGAATTCTCAATGCCAAAATTTTGATCCAACCTATGCATGATTGACACAAGTGCATGTATCATTCAAGTGATTAGGTGAATTGAGTCTAAGATCATCTCTACAAAGACTGGTATAAAAGTTATAAAAAGCAAAACTGTTACTCTTCAAATCACTAAAATTTTAGGTTTTCATAATAATTTCTAAAAATAAAATATTATTTTTTCAATATAAACAGTTGAATTTGTAAAATTACATTATAAAATTATTAAAATTACGAAATTTAAAAAAAAACCCTACTATCAATCAAGAGCATAAATGTTTTAAATCTCCATTGATAATTACCAATTCTAAAATT